TATGGGTTTGAAAAAGTGAAAGTACAGTCTTTCAACGATCTGGATGTCAAATCTCTTTCATCAATGTCTGCCCTCCACATGTACCTTGCAGGATCTCTCTGCAATGTGATCATGCTCTGAGATGATGGCAGAAAGAAAGCATCATGATGGGATGAGGAAGTCTAGGCTGGCGCTTTGTCTTCCAGCCAGCTTTAGGAGGGCTGATCCTAAACCCAGTCTTTTTCATGCTGTATTTTAAGGCAGTCTGAATTTTACTCAAATGTCCAAACTTCAAGGTCCTGAACTATGAAATCTTCTTTTTTGGAAAGAATATCATTATTGAAAGTGCTGCAGGAGTTGCTTCGTCCATGGTATAAATCAGCATCTAGCCATAAACCAAATCGCCCCCTGAAAAGGTTAAAAATACAAAAAGGTGAAAACATTTCAAGCTTATGTGGCACACTGTCTTCCCTTGTCCCATCTGTCTTTCCTTTATGCTATAGACAGACAAACACCCTAAACTGCTTGTAAAATAAAGGGTACATTTCCTTTATTTCATTTAAATGACCTGTCTTCCCTAAAAGACACATGGTAGTAAGTAGTCCTTCATTTAGACACATAAATAAATCATTTTATCTTGGACTCTTAGTGTCATGTGTTAGGCCACTGTCCTAATTAATATAAGCATATGGGTGAGCTAAAATCACCCGACACCAAGGTTTTGGTTACCTGGGTCAAACCAGACCCACTCAGGTCAGGTGGTAAATTAATAATAACAACAACAAAAACCTTACCCTCCACCACCAAGTTCTAAAGAACTTATGTCTCCATTGATAAAGTATGAGTTTTCTCCACTCCACTTAAAGACCTTAGGGTAGAAACACAAGACAGAGAACAGGCATTTTAATCTGGAGCATTAACAAAGAGGAAACATTGGGCTAGTACCTCTGGAACTACCCACTGGCTGAGGAAGCTCCTGGCAGCTGGTCTCCCCCACACCAGGACGAGATCTCCACAGGAATCATGAAGTAAGCAAGGCCTCTCTGGCCCATGCTGACTCTGACCTTCAGTCCCTCCTTGAACCCCAGACCACGCAGAAGAGCAATTCCCAAGGCCCAGGGAGGGACCCTAAGCAGTTTGTGTGCTACAGTCATCAAGGTCGGAGGTCCCGGTGAGGTTACAGGACAGCTGCTGCTCTGACTGATGACAGCCGCCTACCTTCAACCCCACCCGAACCCCTGATGTGGTGACATTGGGAAATCAGATCTTTCTCCTATCGAGGTACCTTGAAATTTGGGCTAAACGTGTAGAGGAAAGTTTCGCCCGTGCC